TTACAATACCACTGCACACCAAGTTGGATAACAAATTCCAACAAGGATTACCACAGAGGTGCCTTCGTGGGAGTCCGAAGATCGAAGAGGAGCAACGATCGAACATACGAACGATTGAAGATAGTAGAGGTGCAAACGATCCCGGTACGCACTCTTCAAAAAAAAACAGGCAGCCTCATTGCAAGCCTCACTATCAGAGCATCGCTGACAGAGCTGATAGAGTAGAGGTCAAAACGAGAGTTAGTAGAGGTGCAAACGATCGAACGATCGATCCGATCGACGATGGTGTGTTTTGAGTCTTGTTATCTCAGTATTATTATCTCAAAAAAGTAATAATCTTTAGCTTCTTTTAAATCTTTGTTTGAGTCCTTTAAACCCACCGGCTGATAGAATATTGGTAGCGATCATTTTGTTAAATCTTTTTTGAGTCCTTTAAGTCCAGTAGTGTTCCGTTTAGTCATTTGTTTAGTGCATTGTAGTCGCCAGGTAGACACCATGTTTTGACTAAAAACTGACTAAATTGTTTAGTCCGAGATTTAGTCATCTGCTGGTAGACACCACCATTACTAAAGGATAATGACTAAATCTTGAACTAAACAACCACCTAAAGGTTTCCTTTAGTCGCTACTTTAGTCCCTTGGGTAGAGAGCGGCCTTAGATGGTTCCTTCATAGAAGGCATCGGGGCCGTTTAGGGTGGACCACTCGGCATAAACCTGGCCACGGCATTTGTTTCAGCACTACGCAACGTTCGACCCTTTCGGCCAAATCTGGCCATCCGATACAACAACCAACAAAGAAATGCAACTACATATACATAAGCAATGTCATCTCAATCCAACTTGTCACAATGATATGATTTCTGTCTTGACATGGTCTTCTCATCAGAAGACTCTCCGACTAAACTTCTCGATATCGTCGTGCATCTCAATTTCCACGATGCGAAACCACGGTCTAAGACGATGCCACGAGCAGGATCCACGAGCTACAGACGCACAAGTGGTACGGTACCACCGTACTTTCAAAGCAGTCCTCGTTACCGTATCAATCATGCAATACAAAAGTGGATACCGCTACCGTACGTCTTTAGAAGCGCTACTTTACCTTTTAACTACTTGTTTCGTTCGTCGGTGACGACGACGACGACGACAACGCCAACTCGTATTTGAATAGCAACGATTGCAGCAATAGGGAAAGACACACTCAACTCTCGCTTCACCAGTTCCGCCACAGTCGGACCACACATCCTCCAATTTACTAGATGCAGACTCTTGAGAACGAAGCTCGCAAATGCGCTCGGGCATGCTCCCGGTCAACAGGTTGTTGTGCATCAACAAACTATGCAAAACAGACAAAATTCCTGGTTGCACGTCGGGAATAATTCCGCTCAAAAAGTTGCCGTCTATCCAAAGGTTCTCCAGCAATGGTGCAGTAAAAAAGTTCGTGGGAAGGGGACCAATGAAGGAATTGTTGGATAAGATGACATGCTTCAGCGAGGGAATGCCAAACAAGGATTCAGGGACATTGCCCGCCAAAAAGTTGCGGGAGACGTCCAAACGCTCCAGTTGCACGAAATCCGCAAAAATGCTCGCTGGCAGAGTTTCGTTCATGTAGTTGGTGTTCAAGACCATGTTGACCAGACTTGTCAGTTGCGAAAACGATCCTGGAATTGGTCCAGTGATCGAGTTCTCACTCAACCGAACATCCGTCAAGGATACCAGATTCCCAATGGCAGTCGATATTGTGCCGGAGAGATAGTTGCTGTCAAGTTGTAGTACTTGAAGCTTTGTGATTCGATACAATTCCTCGGGGATGCGACCTTCGAGGATATTCTTATTCAACCGCAGCCGGTGCAGATCCGTCAGTAAGCCCAGATGGCTTGGAATGACACCCACAAAATTGCCAGCTGCCAGATCCAGCGATGTCAATTTGGAAAAAACCTCTGCCAGGGTAGGTGGAATAGTGCCAGCGAACATGCTGTTGGACAAGTTTAGACTCAACAACTCGCTTCCAAAACGGTTGTCATTGTCGTCCAGAACATTGGGAAGTAACCAGTCTTCCAGCGACCCGTAGATGCTCGTATTGGACACGACCAGTTCCTTTAGAGACGAAAGCAGCTGAATTTCTCGAGGAATCTCACCACCACCACCACCACCACCACCGTCCTGCAAAAGTCCCGACACGGTGGTTGCCGTGAAACGAAGTGCCATGACTCGTCCATCTGGTGTGCACTGGATGGCTCTCTCGTCGTTATTATTGTCATCGTCAGACGAGGGTGTCCAATCGCATTCGGACTGAGAGGCATTGAGCCAACTCTGTTGCTGTTGTTCCTGTTGCAGATTGTCACCTTGTCGTGGCTGCTGGCGAGTAGTTGGGTCTGCGCCGGTGTCGTCAACAGAGCCTCCTTTTTGAAACGAATAGTATATCGATGCCAGTGCAAATTTCTGCTCTTTTTCCCAGTCCTCCATGGCCAATAAATCCTCACTGCTGTAGCTCGAGGCCATCCATTGCAATGCCTGTGGCTTTGGAGACGTTGCTTCCTGAGTTGCCTCGCTGCTGAACTCTGGGAGTGTAATATTGGCTCCCGACTCTCCCAGTGGGATTGGTACTTTTGTGTAGTTGACAGTGGGCAGTAATTGTTCTGTAGCGTTTGGTTGTGAGACCGGTGTTATGGATGGGTCGTTAGTCTGGTTGGCCTGTGGTGGACTAGTACCGGTATTGGAGTTGTTGTTGTCAAAAATGTTTGCACTTGTGGTACTGGTATCATTGGTCATGTCAACAGGAGCAGCAGTGGGAGGCTTAGTTCTTGTGACGCTGCCAACAGGAGGTGTTGTGTCTGGTTGCTCATTTTCCTTTTTGCAACTGGTAACAGCACCACAAACAATGCCAGTAATAGCAGCTCCAGTCCACATGATTGACACGAGAACTATGGCAGCAGCAAAAATGATGCAACAACGCTTCTGATGTGCCAAGTTGTCCTTTTCAGGTTCCTCGTCTTCTTCGTCTTCCTCCTCGTCCATGAGAGGGGCTTCTAAGTCTTCAACCTCTTCAACCTCTTCAACCTCTTGTTCACGTCTGTATTCCTCTTCAAACTTCTCACTTTCTACATGTACATGAAACTCTGACTCGTCTTGGTCTTGATCTTGATCTTGTGGGAGTTCCTGTGATTCAGGTACTGCAGTACCTTCAGGTGCTAGTATTTCCTCTTCATCCTCTTCCTCCTCTTTTACCTGTACCTGCATTTGTTCTGAACCTGAACCTGAAGCAGTATCCTGATCTTCTGCTTCACTAGCACTATCATAATCTTCCTCTGCTTCATCCTGCTCAGTTGCTGCTTCTTCTGCTTCACTAGTACTATTACTGTCATCAGCTGCATCAGGTGCATCAGCTGCATCAGCTTGACTTTGCTGCCTTTGTTTCTTTCTTGCAGCTTCCACGGCCGTCATAAGATCTTGCGAGTCCACTGGCGGGGCTTGATCCAACTGGAGCTCACTATTGCTCATGCTGAGCATGGCCACTGAAGCAACTTCCCTGCTGGCTGCCAACTGCGCCTTGCGGGCTTCTCGGTCAGAGCTGTACATGGTCGACTTATCTTAAGGTAAAGATGCTATCAATGCTATCATTGCTATCAATATGATACAGGTACCTTCAGTCTGGCAAGAGCAACTTCCCGTTGCTGCAAATATGCTTCCGTTCTTCACCTTGCGAAAATTTGGCTTTCACAGTCATTTGTCGCACGAATGAGTAGAGTCGCGTCTGGTCGGACCCCAAAAGTGCATTGGTGTAAGGGGGGTTTAGTGTTTAGTGTAGGTACATGTAGATTATCTAGAATATGTGCATTGGTTGGTTTGACCGAGAGAAGCCAGGGAGGGAGGAGACAGCCCCATGCAGATGTCGCTGGCAACCACAAGTAGTTAGATTGGATTGGATTCGATTGGGATCCTGTTGCCCACCTTGTATAAGGGGATCTTTTAAAAGGGGAGCTGTATTCTTCTCCTTCATATACCAGGTACCAACTTGCTTCTAAGGAAGTGTCCGATTGCATAGTTACTTGGGCAGCACTTCTTGAGCGAAAGTCCACGTTGAAGCACTAGTACTCTTCAAATTTCGATCCTTTTCGTCTTTGTGTATCGTCTTTCTTCGCTTTTGTGCTACTAGTCTACCGGTAGCCAACCAAAGTGGCCCATCTCTTACTTTGGCAGTGCGCACTGCACTGCCTTGCACTGCACTGCACTGCACTGCACTGCTTCGACTACTGACCCTGTACCACTGAGCATTGCCTACTTGTTTCTTACTTCTACCGATAGCTAGCCATGGACGAAACGCTGCACCTAATGCACAGTGTCCAGAATTTTTGCCAGGACCTGGACCTAAGCTAAAGAATGAGTGTCAATTGATTGATTGAGTTCGTTCACTATTTGCTATGTACATTGAATTGCATTATTGGAGTCTACCGATTGTATGTACAGTTCTTTGTTGCGTTTTGTTGACACGGTATGGTATGGTGGTATGCTCAGAAAGGTCCCACCAATAGTTCACTCCATTCACTAATGAATGGGATCTGGTCTGGTTTCTTTCCCTTTAGGTTGCAAAAGACACAGTATCCCACCAGGGAAAGTATGTAATAATAGGTAAAGTTGGAGCAAGGTTCAGCCAGTGCTCTAGGAATATCTTCTCCTTCAAATGATCCAGCAATGAGTTCAGGAGCTATCAAAGACACATTAATGAGTGCAGCTTGTTGCGCAGAGAACCTGACATTCCTAGCCATGTCTGTGTTTTGTCTGGTTCCCAATGTCAGAGCAATGAAAAAGACCAATCCAGTAAAGGGGAAAATATCCCACAAGTTTACCAGACCTCCCAAGAAAATGTCATGCAGCAACCCAACTGGAGGAATTCGGTCAAACAAAAACTTGCCAAAATGATCTCCATCCAAAAGAGGCAAAAAGTAAGGAACACAAGCTTTCAATTTATCACTTCCTTCCAGGTCACTGTCTTCGCTCCACATGCTCTTTTTCAATGCAGTGCCGGTACTACTAAGTCTTCTACTGGTACTACTAGTACTACTAACTCTAATGCTTGCATGGTGAAGCCGTGGGATTTGCGGGACCTGATCCCGGACAAAAGCACGGGCAGTCCCACTCTGATGAAGCAGCAGCAAAAGTGCTATTGATACGACCATCAGAGACGGTCTCATCATTCCGCGTCTCATGGTGCTGTCTTTTTGAAGAAAAAAGGAAGTGATGGCTAAGTCAATGTTAACCTATCATGGAGGATCCAAACGACAGCAGACAGCAGACAGCACAGCAATCGAACGATCTGTTCAGAGCAGAGAAAATCGCAGAAGCCCACAGCCTCCAAAAGAATGACACGTTGAAGTTGAGAATTGAGTGGGTCGGCGACGACAACGACGGCCAGAAGGTCGCATCAACAGTAGGGATAGAGATAATGGCAAGTCAAAGGTTAAGGTTCACTAGCACGAGCACGATCACCATCATTGCTTTTTTCTTCCGAGTGCAAATAGACTACTGGTACGATTACGATATAGATGTCGTGGTGATGTGAAAGCCTAGTATAGCAATGGTGTCATGGGCTTTATGATTTATGAATTCATTTTGTGCTAGCTAGTTCTATTGAACTGGGATACCGTATTGTAGAACGGCTTGGGGGTTGTGCGTCCATCTCTTTCTCTTTCACTTTCAATCATCGGGAATGTCAAAAGACGCCGACGAGCTTTCCCAGGGCTTGCTCGTAACCCTTTTTCATTCATATCTATGTTCGGAGCGTCATTTGTTGTGTAGCGTTTGGATTGCCGTCTTCCCCGAGCTTATTGTTGTGGATCGATCAAGATCTGTTTGTGGCTTGTTGTTTTGATTTTGCACCGAGGAATGGGGCGGCATTCACAGAGAAACTGAACAACTGTACCGGTAGCTCAAATACATTCACTTGGTAGTTTTCCTACCAACTGCTTCCATACCGGTAGGCTGCTTTAGTTAGAACTCCCCGCAATTGTCGAGCATGCGATGTGTGACGGCATCTTTGTGGATGTTCCATTTCATTTCCACCTTTTCTTTGTAACTAAAGGTTCTGGCATCTCTCAGCATTCGCTCCATGTCAGTAATGGAAGATACATGCCAATCGGAAATGTCGGCATTGAATTTCAGTGCATGCAGGAACATGTACGAGGCCGTGGTGACTTTGGACACGTCCCACGCTGAAATGTCTGAATTGAAACTCTTGGCCATGGCAAACATGCTTTGCAATGATGAGTAAAAGAAAGTAAGCAACTCCAAACACAGGAACAGATGCCTGCAAACACAGATATAAAGATGCATGTAGCTCACCGACTCATGGAGGTAGCCTTGCTGGTGTCCCAGTAGGAAAGCTCCTGGTTAAATTCAATGGCATTCTGAAACCTGTCGTAAAGCAAAGAATGAAAGCCATGCAGGTTAGAAAACCCATTCCCAACCTCAACCAATGGCAAGATAGGTACATGGTACCCAACCCTATCTGAAGCTGCTACTTGTAATTTGGTAGCATGCAGCCAGCAATTCCTAGCTAGCTAGCTCCCTGCAGCTTGCCTCCCTGAAACTTACATGGCAGTGAAATCAGTGACTTTGCTGACAGACCACATTCCAATATCTTCATTGAAGGCTGTATGGTCGTAGAATAAGTCACTCATGTCCGTGACTAAACGGGTGCACCAATTTCCAATGGGCCAACCGTATTCTAGATAGGAAAGGGTTAGCTATCATACCTAACTATTCCAAGCTAGCTAGCTATAGCTAACAAAGAGAAGAAGAGAAGAAAACTTACTCTCCGCCATCTCCATGTCAACGTGGTTGTGTCCGTGGTATCTATCCACGGCATCGACTAGCTCTTCCTTGGTTTCAAAGCATCGAAACTGATGACCTTCTTCGACTTCCATGGTAAAGTGTTCCCCGGCATTTTGGCCTTGAAAGGAAACTGACTCTGTCTTCTCGTGCTCTTCCATCGTTATAGTGGCCAAACTACATGGTAGAGAAGCTACTGCACACAACAACGCCAACAAGGCCGTTCGTCTCACACGTTGGAAGGATGGCGCCATGGTCGTCGTTTTTCTTTGGTTTTATTGTGTGTCCTATCGTCCGTTACGTTGCGGGGAAGGTCCTTTTTATCGCGGCAAGTCCAATGGGATTGCTGGCATTGTGGCTTTTCAATGACTTCTAGTAATGACCACAGCTATCTACGTCTACGCGAGTGACCATCTTCGTAAAGCTAGGTTTAGGCTCTTTGAAATTCAATGGAGGGGATATCAGCAGGAGAAAGCATACCAGTACAAGTAAATGATCCCTTCTAGAATCTTTCTCTGGATCAATGGAACGAACCGAGATAGAGGTCCTTATCAGCAGTCACGTACAGTAGTATGTACCGGTAGGGTAAGGTCCACTTGGTGGAACGGAACCGTCTTGGGAGACGAAAGGAGGCTCCCGTACATGTATGACGGACTTGGAGGCAACGATACAGTTCCACTGAATTGTGAATTGTGACGAAGTATGTAAAATGTTGTGGCCAGCAGCAAGGCAGTTATGTTAATAATAATTTTGAGAATAGCGTGGCATCTTGCAGTAATCTAGATCCTTGAAACAAATAATAGCTGCTGTACCAAGTAAATACAGCAACGGCCTGCTTCAGTGCAGTGACTCGACTCGACTCAATTGGATGCATCAACGTAGATTCTTCTTCTCAACTGGTCGGTGCAGTTCTTGTGTACTTACTAGATCCCGCTGGTGGCACTAGAATGTCGCAACATCATTCTCTCATTGACAGTATCTTGAGTAGGACTGTTATTCATGTAGATAGGGCACTTGTCACAAGTGACAGTGACCATGTCGGAGGGTCCCAGATTCGGTTTCTTTTCACTGAGTCCATAGATGCAGTGAAGGATGGTACTGGTGAATGTGTTGCAATTGTTGGTGAGGGGATTGTAGTCTACACCTGCCCAGTTGGACCAGCAAGTTTCATGGGAAGTGTCACAGAGAGCATGATAGGCAAAGTCTCCAGTCTATAGATAAGTGTACGTGAGTAAGTAAGTCATGTATGGGAAAGTACGGGTATAGGTCAGGCAGTGAAATAGATAAGACAGTTCAAATCAAGTCTAGCTAGCCAGCTAGCTAGAACGTACCTTATTACCGCTGTTTCCGTATAGGTAAAGTGATTTTTGCTCTGTATCAGCATTGCCAATGACAGCTCTTTTTTCATTGAGTGGGAAATGTGTTTCAGGGTCTTTATGGGGAGCCCCACAGCAGCGTTCCGTGCAGGGCGCCCCTCCGTATCCGAATTCGATGCAATTGGCAGTCCTAGAAGACCACCAAGTGGTGGGAATCTCTGCAAAGTCCGTCAGACTAGCAATCGAGCCGTCCAAGTACTTTTGATCCTCTAAAGAAAATCCTTCTTGTGGACACACCAGCACTTCTGTATGGAAAATCCAACCACCCGTGTTGGCCAAGGGAAACTTTTGCAAAAACACGTACGAAGTGCTGCCAGCTTCACTACTACTAGTAGCACTGACCAAGCAAATAGCTAAGATACCCACGAGAAGACTCCACACTGACATCGTTGTAGACAGACAAGTGCTAGTACTATTAGTTCTGGTAGACGATAGAAACACCATTGTCTCTTGGTTTTGTGTGGGATCTTTTGGGAATGGATCTCCTTGTTGCACGACCAAGGAAGATAGATAACCTCTAACACGTGCTACGGTAGCGTAGCGCTCTAGAAGATCGCGCACTCGCTCAGCGACGGCAAAGGAGGCTTCCAACGAAGTTTGGTTTTCAACTTGCATATGGTGCCTTCAGAGGGCCATGAAAGTTTGTTTGAGAGCCTTGATTGAATCACTCCTGGAGTGACAGGTAAGACCTTGCCCCTCAGTGCCATCAGGGCCTGGTGGTTGGGAATGATTTCCTCGGCTGCACGTAACCGACAGGATGGCATTGCGGAACAGGAACCTAGTACTAGACGTGCATAGCCAATAAAGTGGAAGAGCCATGCCTATTGAAGCATACGCTTTTCAATCTGGGCTGATCATGCACAGGAGTATTCATCAGCACTAATAAAGTTTCCCTATCCATCTTCTATTTCTTTTTCCAATATTTACTTTTAGTTTTGGTTACTCCTGTTTCTGCTCTTCCTCTACGGCACTGTCATTGTCATTGTCATTGCTTTGTGACTGTGACTCTTGCTGCTGTGTTGTAGTTTCTTCTTTGGGCATGAGTAGTTTGACCCAGTCATAGAGCGTGGCCTCTGCCAGTTTGCCTCCCACAATTTCTGTTTGTACTTTTCCTTCTTTGAGGAATAAAAAGGTGGGCCATCCCGTGACTCCGTATTGATTGACAATCAAATGGTGTTCCTCTACATGGACCTTTAGAAAGAGTACTTTGTCTTGGAATTCTTCACTTTCCGCTAGTTCTTGGAACAATGGAGCTACGCGTTCGCAAGGAGCACAGTTGTCAGAATACAAGTAAATGACAACCAGTTGGCCAGTTGCTTTGGTTTCTTCTAGAATGTCATCCAAGTGAATAATTGAAGTGGGCTGCAGAAATCAGACAACAAGAATGAACTTGAAAGAGTGAGGGCGCATCTGGAGGTGGTTTGCCTACCAGTACCGGTACACGAGCAGTAGTTGGCTTGCAAGGTTGCACGGTATCATACATGGCTCACAGCTCATAGCATTGTGTCAGACCTGTAGCAAACTTACATACTGAATTTCCCCTCCTCTAAGCTGTAACAGAGAAGACAGCCCTGGTGCCTGCTGATCTAGACACAAGTTGGTTGCTGCTGCACGAGTTTTCCGCGGGAATGAATGGTACTGCTTCCTCCAGCCGTGGACAGTACCAATAGTGGATAGCAGATAGCTCAGCAAGAGAAGCTTCAAGCATGAAGCTTGAGATAGCTTAGTAAGAGAAGTCATACTACTAGCTAGCTAGTTGTCTACTTGTATGATAATAAATTGCCAGCCTGTAACGATAGTGTTGTATTGTCTCAGCTGTCTCAATCAGCCGTTGTTCCTTCTTTCTTTCAAGGGTTGTTTTGCAAGGGTGTCAGTCATTGGAGCTTCAGCCTTCCACGTGGAAGATTTTGGATACTATCCGTGAGTGATCAGCCACGAGAAGATCCGTGTTTTGGAGTGGGATTGGATCTGCAGCCAACTTCGACCATGGCACAATCCTCTCGATATCACCGCAGTCCACAAGCATAGTGAGGATAGACCGCTTTCTCTCTCTCCTCTTCGTTGATAGACTCCGTCTTGGCTCAGGTCGCATTCACCATGGTAAGTATAAACCCGTCTTGGTCAGCTGCCTTCAGTGTCTTACCTTAGCTTTATCTTAGCTTACCTTATCTACCCGCCCTCATCTACACGGTATACCGGTACTGTAGCTCCCTTTATCTCTACTAAAAACGGCCACTGGATCTCCTCTGTTGGTGGAACTAAAAGATGGAGACACTTACAACGGTCGTTTGGTTTCTTGCGACGCTTGGATGAATATGAATCTGCAAGAAGTCATTTGCACTAGCAAGGATGGAGAACGATTCTGGAAGCTACCCACCTGCTACATTCGTGGTAGTGCTGTCAAGTACCTACGCTTGCCACCAGATTTACTAGATAAAGCAAAAGAAGAAGAAGCGAAAAATCCATCACAGGGATATGCAGGACATTCACTCAATAATAGAGGTGGAGGCAGAGGTGGAAGAGGAGGCAGAGGAAGAAACTATGATGGAAGAGGTGGTGGCAGAGGAAGAGGCAGAGGAGGAAGAGGACGTGGAAACCACAGAGGTGGTGGCAGAGGGGGGCGAGGAAGAGGTCATCATGATGGTGGAAGAGGAAGACAGCAGCAGCAGCAACAGCAACATAGCTAGATCAAATACAATACTATAGTGGAAAGACTGTCAGAGGAAGCACTCCGATAGTACTATTTTGATTTGGGATAGTCTATGATGTTCATCTTGGTCTGGTACCGTACCGTAGGAATGCTATCTCTGCGCGCTTTACACCTTACATGGAGCTAGTGTCCATGCCAGATATTCAATGCTTGCCGAACATCTGTGTGGCAAGTGCTGGACAGAAGGAGAGAAAGATCTCGCAGTAAGGGCAGAATTCGAACGGTTCTTTGTCTCTTATGTATTATACCTGTTAGGTACCGTAGTCTACTCGTACGGAAGCTATATCTAGAATTTGAAGGTTTGCTGTACAGTCGTACGGTATGGCTGTATGGCTGTATGGCTCGCTGCCGTGGATCTTCTGGGGCTGAAAACTGTGCGCCGCAAACGCCGACCTTTGCTTCTACGGTTTTCCCCCTTCCGTACCAATAACCTCTTCAAGTTTCGTATCATTCGTCCGGACTGTCTGGTCCAATCTTCTTCAATGCCTTCTCCGTGTCACGACAAACCCGCTTCAAGAACTTCTCCTGTTTTTCATTGATGACTCTCGTAGCCCCATAGGCAGATCCAAAAATGTCGACGCCATACATTTCACTCGAAGGATTCTGTAACACTAGAATGTCAAATAGTTCGCGCAATTCCCATTCAGTCTCCTCGTCGAGGGCATCAGTCATGTCAAACAGCCGATTCGCCATCTCATCCGCAAAAACCATGTATTCGTGGTGGTTCAGCACATGGTCGTAGGTTCCATCTGCGTCTTCCATGTCATTCAAACATCGCAGTTCTCCATCGGTCCATCCTTCTTCGGGCGGAATATACTCTTCGTCGCTGCCAAAGGTGACAAACGCACAATGAAGCAACACGACCAGCCCGAGCAACACGCAAACACGACGGGTCATTGTGAATGAAGAATCACGATCTAGCTAGCTAGCACACTGACTACGGTGGCTAGAGCTTCTTTATGTACGAGGAAGCGACTATTCTAAAATAACTGCACATGTGGTGGCTCTCTTTGCAAGCAGATGCGGAAGAGCTTGTGGTCATTGGATATGTATCCTTCGTCCGAGTGGAACCAACTTCATGGAGCTATCCGAAAGCTCGGAGGCTCTATCCTGCTATTTTGGATAGCTCTCGCGTTCAGTCACGAGCCCACGGGATTTCCTGAACCACTCGAACAGCTCGTAGAGCTCAAAGGTTGCACTGCAACACGAGGCCAAGTAATGGAACACCTTGTCAGCAAAGAGTCTTATCGTCTCCAGGAAGCGGTCACAGAGCGAGGTGAAGCCACTGCCTACTAGTACCATACCGTAAGATGAAAAACGTTGCCGAATTTGAGTGCGTTATTCACCGCACCTCGACAACTTTGGTGGGACACGAAGTTCCGAGTGCGAATGAGTGATCACACAGTCGAACGGGAGAAAGCAAAAGCTCTACTCTAGCTAGCTAGTATTGAGTGTTGGAACATGAGTACCAAAGCATCGATACATTCTGGCGCTTTGCACTTTGTACCACTCTCTTCAGTCCAAAGTCCGTGTGTCGGGTAATGCGTTGCGTGCAATGATACCCCACCAGACTCCCATTCAAGCCGTATACGCGTTGGCAATTGCATTTCTGTTCGTTGTGCGCAATGGCCGAGCGGCGCAGGAATCGGACGCTAGTACGATCCGGTCGCCAGCATCCAACATCCTCATACGCGAAGACACTCTTTGGAGTCGGTCGTCCCTGCAAACACAAGGCATCACTATCCATGGCAATGTAACGGTCTTTCCTGGCGTTACCCTCGTTATCGAAGGCATCCCTCGCAAAGGAAAAGTCGCCCAAGAACCCTTTGCCGTGATCTTTGCTGAGAAAGACGCGGCTATCGTCTTACAACCAGGAGCCTTTATACGAATAACGGATGTGGACTTTGTCGGTCAGAGGATTGCAACGAAAGATCTTGGTACCGGTAGCGACTCCAACACAACGGAGACTCCGACCGCTTCCAAAATCCAGGCCACTCCTGTGGGTCGTGGGGTTGTCGCCATCGGAAAGCCCACCGATGGAACTGCCACGGTTGCGGCCACACGTTTTCGTTGCAAGGGGTTATCCACGTGCATTGACGCGATAGCAGCCAATGTTACCGTACAGGACAGCTTTTTTGACATGAATGAAAGCAATGCCACCTATACACAGATCCGCTGTCTCTATGAGGGCTGCAATAGTGCCACGGCTGCGATCAGTGCCTATGATCTTAAGGTGGAACGCAGCGTCTTTTGTCGAATCATACGGTTGGCATTCGAATGGTAGGACAGAAAGGCCGTCTCTCGGTGACAAACTGCACTTTTCGAGCAGAACGAGTGCCAGCTACTGGAATACTAGCACTCGGTTCTACCTATGGAGAAGTCACAGTCAAGGGATCTGTCTTCGTGGGGCATCATTTCTTCGCCAAGTCATTCCGTAACACCGCTGGCAAAGCAAGCTTGCTAGGCGGTTATGCTTGCAAGCACGTTATTGACAATTGCACGTTTTTGGACAACATACCGAAGGCTATCGCTGCAGGCCCCAGGGTCTCCAACAGCGTCATCCAAAACTCTTACTTTGCCAACAATGGAGTGGCCGTCATCAACTCTGATTTTGCTATTCAATCGTCCATCTTTGTGGACAATGTCGTCGCCATTGTGCAGGGAAAGACGCAGACTCAGACTCCGGAATCTTTGAAGGATCTGCTGTTCTTCCGGAATCTCGTTGCTCTGGATTCTAGAGAGGGCTACCGAGAAACAGGCGAATTCGACAGCATTACCTTCCTTGCCAACGGTGTTGCCATGCTGGGAGGAGTCTTGAAACCAACAGGCCCAATCAACTGGATCGACTCAACCCTGTACAACATAGACTACAAGGGATCTTCTACAGTTGATCTGAAGGATCAGTCTGTATTTTGGGGGTCAGGGGTTGACGAGGCGGCAGTGCATGCCAAGATACGAGACGGCTTGAATGGAGGTGGGCCAGGGCTGGTCTTCATCGGCGTCGACAATGACAAAGGCTCAACGGCCTATCATCATTCAACCTTTCCTGGTTCCAACTACCGACCCCAAACGGGCCAGGAAAAGCTCGATTCCATACTGAGCAACAACAACTTTAATGACGGTGTGGGTCACAAGCCCTATCCATACCTCCTCCTTTCGGATCAACTCCGAGCTGAAGATGCTGGACTCAAAGACCTACCCGATGAAATCCTGGCTTGGAATTGGACATCGTATGCCAATGCCAACTCAGAGGCATCATCGCCAGAAGAGCAGCGGCATCATCCTGAACACCAGCTTTGCCAAGAAGACCCCGAATCATTGATCTACGAAATCCAAGTGAAGTCTTGCGCTTGGTTGGCAAGAAGATCAGACCGAATGAAACATTGTCAAAACCCCAATACTGCCAACAATTGTCCTCTTACCTGCGGCGTCTGTTCGGCCAAGTCCAACGATGACGCAAAGCTACAAAGCAACCAAAACGGGGGTGATTTCGATGATGGTGATTGTGGGGGGTTCATCATGACCGCAGAGTCAGGCCTGCCAATCTACTTGTGGGCTGTAGTGTTTTACGTGTTGGTTCTACAAGGGATTGCATGCGTTGCCTGTGGCAGATGTCTCCACAACCGATCCTCGAAATCTATGTGTTCCTTTGGTAGTGGAGAATCTTCAATTGCCTTTCCAACAGAGTTGGCTTCTTTGAAAAGTGAGGAAGGTTCAGGTATTGAATTGGGCAGCCACGTGAAATGATACGGCTTTGTTACTCCTTGTGGCTCACCGGAGTCTTGGGCGACGGCCATGCTCCATCCGAAGTCACCCCTTTTCCGGAAATAGCTAGCGGACCATTGAGCGGTCTTCGTTAAGAAGGGCAAACGTGACAGTACGCGCACCGTACGGACAAGCAAGTAGATCTAGAGACAAGCTTTGTTTCTTTTTTGTATTGTTTTGACTATTTTAAAAGAAAGGATATGTAACACTAATGATGAAAAAGGAAAATCAAATAATACTTTCCAAGAACAGGGGTATGTTTGGCATTGCAGTTGATGTTGAAGTCGACGGCAACAAAGGGGATTGCATCCTTGCAAGCAGCAGCGAATCGGAGGTAGGAAGTGTACTGTGTTTCTTTGTATGTTGTGTATTGGGTGGGTAAGGGTTGTTTTGTCTGTGCGTTGTTTGTTGCATGCAAGTAGCGAGTTGGTAAGGGTAAAAGTAAGTCAAAGCAGCCACAGACCATGTCACTTCGGCAAGGAAGTGATGGGTCAAGCGGCGCTTGCTGTGCACATGAAACATGACAAAACAAATTGTGGAAGAGCAGTGTGTGATTTCGTCGAGACACCAAAGTTCGAAGTCACACTTGCTGTTTCCACCGTTGGGATCGTCATCAGCCTCAATCGTTGATCAACGACCCCCCTTTCAGTCCCCGTCTCCCAGACTAAAAGGCTTCGTCATGTACATTTGACCTGGACGATGACTTTCCAGTTCGCGACGGTGGATCACCACCGCCGGATGAATCCTTAGTTCTGGACTTGCGTCCTACCGAACTGGAGGATCGTTTCTTGGATTCGCTCTTGGATCTCCCCCTCTTGCTTCCACTGCGTGACTTGGATCGATGTGAGCGCGATCTGGATCGCTGGTGTTCGCGTTCACTTCCATTTTCTTGATCCGACGTTCGGAAGAGTCCATCTCCTTCTTCGTCTGCTTGGCTCTTTCGTGCACTGCTGGAGCGACGACTGGAGCTGGTACCTCGTTTCTTCTTTCTGGATCGAGAGCGTCTGGATCTGACTGATCGATGACCTGCTCCATCATCGTCATGGTGTCCTTCATCCAACAATCGTCTGGACTTGGAAGAGCGTGATTCTCGGTATCGCGAGCGACGTGCGACGGCGAATGCCAAGAATGTTGCGACAAAGAGTAGGAATGAGAACGTCAAAAAGGCATTTGCCATGATACGTGACCAGGATGACTCTACGAGTACGTCGGCTCTGTTGGTGGATCCCTCTGTGTAGGAAGAGGCTTGCATTTTGGATCCAAAGGCCTGGTCTCCGTAGATGACTTGATTGATTGAGTTTTGTGAGTGTCCCATGGCAATGCATTCTCCTTCGCAGATGAATGAGTCATGCGAATGGAACTTCCAGCACTGGTTGATGAGATCGTCGTCATCGGTACCGTAGTCTCCAATAAAGTATCCATCTTGGTAGGTAGGATAATCCATGCACGGTGTGCAGTACATGTACTCTTCGTATACCTCGTTTAGACTTGTCAGAGTGTACTCTTGTGCATCGTACCACCACTCGTATAGATCATCGGCTTCTCCGTCGCCTTCATCTTTGGATCCCAGGTCGACATCCGTCTGAGCGACAAAGTCGTCGTATGTTCCGACAGTTTCATCGGGTTGAAGACAGTAGTCGTCAGTGTAGAGTGCCATCATGAATTTCCCCCCCTCAAGAGGCTGAATTCCCGCGCGAATGGCGTTTCCATTGTTATCGTTTCCCACTTGGAAGCAATCTTCGTCGGTCATGTACATGAGTCCCGCCCTTGCCACAATGTACTCATATTCGTCAATGGCCCAAAGATGCTTAGAGATTTGTTCAATGAACTGGTAGAATTCTTGTCGGTAGACTCCAATGAGCTCCCATTCGGTGTCCGGGTTGTGGCAATCGAGTTTGGAGTATGGTTCTTCGGAAAAGTATTCTTCGTACTCGTAGCCTTGGTAGTTTGGGTTGACGTACTGCATTGCATGTAGACAAGAAGATGAGAATGGGTAAGACTACGATAAGTGTGATTTGATTGTTTGGTTGTTGGAAGTACTTACAGCAGCCCACATCATCCACCTGGAACAAGCATCTCCACCATCTCCTCCTCCTCCATTGTCTCCTGATCCATCTGACTTGTCGTGATCACAATCAATGAAAGCACCCAACATTCTGTACGCTTGTGCCCACTTGTCGTACTCAGCCGTAGGATCAGCGAGGTATCCCAGAGCCGCATTGAACGAGTATCCATCTCCATTTCCAAACCAGGACGTTCGCCTCTGAACATCGTTGAGTTCCTCCTTGGTCAATCTGTGTACTGGCGCTTTGGCTTCCTTGGGTGTTTGAGGAGGTTTGTCGGCTCGATGGGAGAGATCTGCCAGCGTTTTCCGGGCAGATGCGCGTCTTTTCTGCAAGCGTAATCGTCTTTGTCTTGCTTCCTCATCTCGCTCTTCTTTGGTGGGCGCGCGCTGGACATTCCGCTTCAAGTTGCGATGATTGAAAATGTCGGAATACATGGTAGAATTCAAATTCAAATCTCCCAATGCATTACTGGTGCTGGTATGCGCTTGGCTCGCCATGGTCACTTCGATCTGACGCACACTACTACTAGCAGCACTACTACTGCTAGTAGCACTACTGCTAGCACTAGCATGGCTGAACATGCCCATCTGCATCTGCAGCAGCAACAGCAGCGAAACTGACAAGTTCAAAGACTTCATCTTGCTTGCTTGCTTGACAATTGGTTTCCTTTTTGCTTTTGCGTTTTGCCTGGTGTTGTCGTGTCGATTCTTTCTAGCTAGTTCCGCAACTGTATGTACTGTTGGTCCATCAATTCCACCACTACAAGCACTTCTGACTGACTTCACTTGACTTCACTTGACTGCTAGCTAGCTAGCACGGTAAGTGTAAGTTGTTGTAAGTTGTTGTCTCTTTCTCCCACAGTCAGTAAGCACTAGCACACTTGACTTGACCTGATAGCTTCAGCAACAACAAAAACAATCGAAAGCCGTAGAGTGCTGCGAACAATGAAGGCGCTTCATCGGCTCGCTATTTCGCGCTTCCTCTTCACCACTTGTATGTAGCATTGTCGGCTCCGCGTGCACATCGCACCTTTATCTAAATACGAGTACCGGTCAACAACCAACGGATCCACACTTAACATACAACCCTTCGCTCGCCTTAGATAACCTTCCAACTTGGGCGGCATGTACACACATGCAACCCAACCCATCATTACATACTCTTAGGGAAATGAAGATTACTATAATCACCAATCCGACTCGCCAACTCGAAACTCGCTGAGGGCAACGGATCCACCTCACTATCTCAAGCATACACTCGAACAACTAGCTCTTATATCAAAAGGCAATTTTCAATGGTGCGTGATAGAGTTTCAAGAGCCGGGGGAGGCAAAAAGACACGGAATATCACCACATCTTGCTGATCGACTGCCAGACTGCCAGTGCACCCCACCCCTTCCCGCCAGAGGGAAACTGAACGTGCACCGGGCCGGCCCAGCAACGAATGAAAGTGGATTGATTGCTACCGGTATGCTGTGGGAGTCGAGTCAACTCAATAAGCCAAGTCTGCCGCCGTAGCTAGCTAGCTTGCTATCCATAAGTTAGGTCCACCGGGGGCTACCAGGTACCTATCTATCACATTGTGATGGAGATCACACCTCCTCATCAAGTCTACAGCCTACAGAGTTCTCATACCGGGACCATTCATACCGCCCGAAACAAAAGTTATATTCTGGCTGGTGCACTGAAAGAAGAAGGTGGCTGGTTAGTACACGTACTTGGTAGTGCCGGTGGTCACATGGAGGCGTGCTTTTGGTCCATGGTCGGATGATACTGGATCGTTGCGGCCATTCTATCTACACTCAAGATCTGTGACTCAGGTGCTAGCTAGTACGGTCCTGGCTGGCCTTCTTTTAAGTTAGAATCACTAAGTTAGAATCTTCGTTCTTGCATAGTTGCATAGTTTGTCTTACAAGGCTTCCAGTACATGTAGTAGCTGGTCTGCATCTGAGCCGACAGACAACACGAGCTATTTCAATTGAATTGCTTCCAATTTGAAAGGACCCCGTGCCCATGACTGGCACTCCTTCTTTGAGGTCCATCAAAGCCTTGGGAGCTGGTGTGACCAAGAAGCACTCTATTCCCTCTTCTATCACATCTACTGCTGCAAGTGACAGTGCTACAGGTGCAGTGTGAAGCTGATCTTGGACATTCCTGCAGAAGATCTTCCTTCCACCATCAAAGTCTTGCCGGGGACTGTGGATGACCGCTGGTTGCAGGAAGAGAGCTACCAGTACCATCTTTAGAATTTTAATTGGCAACCACCTGCGGTATCTTACCAAATACCAGGTACCCGTACATAGTGTATGACAGCTCTACAGTTTAAATCATTGAAGAAGTGCCAACGCACAGTGGACAGGATGAGACAAGAAAGATACTTTGAGTAGAATTTGTACCATGTTGTATGCCACGATGTTGAAGCGTTTTGAAGCCAGGTCCCATTGTGGGTGACACGGCCTTCTGAAAGGGTTCTCGTGCCCCAGCTGGTCTGCCATGTTCCTTTTCTTCGGAAGTTTTGCTTTCTCGAGGTGTTGCCACTGACATTAAAAACTCCACCAGTTGGAAGCAAACATCTCCCAACCTCCACGCGTTTGTTGAAGATTCTGAGTGCAAGCTCTAGCAAGGTGCTGGAGTTTGCTCGTCATGCCTGCGACATCAGTGGCAACTGGTGTGATGTCATCTTCTAGACAACATTTAAAAAACTCCGGGTTTCTTCAGAAAGTTGCAGAAGAATCTAACTAATGCTCCCGTCGTTTGTGCAAAGTCTCGAACACGATTGTTTTGTTGGCACACGAGACACGGCCTCCTTTGATTGGCTAGCTAGAAGCCTTTCAGTCCTGGTGGGAGTGACATCGGTCTCGCTTGCAGCTGGCCTTGAGTATTTCCCGAAGTTGAATGTATCTTTGACCACATGATTCGATTAAGATTCGATTCGGAAGTTGGAACTCTTTGCTCTTTGTTCTGTGGAAGTTGCGGTTCCTAGATATCCTCGAGCCTGACCGGCCATTGAAGCTCGAAAGATCTCTCTTCCAAGCTCTCCTGTAGAGCTAGCTAGTAGCTCATGCTCGTGTTACCTAGATCCATCCAGCAAAAGAAGAAAACATCAACGCCCAGCAAATCTCTGGACTGCGAATCTCATCAGTCTCACAATTCTAGTTTGAACAACCCGAAAAGTACAAACCTCAAAATGAAGCTTGCTATCCTCGCCTCCCTTCTTTCGGCTGTTGCCGCTTTCGCCCCCGCTGCCAAGCAGGCGTCTAGCACCGTTGTCTCCATGTCTTTCGACGAGGAACTCGGAGTCCAGGCCCCTCTCGGATTCTGGGATCCCTTTGGTTTGTTGAACGGTGCCGACCAAGAACGATTCGACCGTCTCCGATATGTTGAGATCAAGCACGGACGTATCGCTCAGTTGGCCTTCCTTGGAAACATCCTTCCCCGTGCTGGAGTCTACCTCCCAGGAGACATTGACTACTCTGGCCATGCCTTCAGCTCCTACCCAGCTGGAATTGCCGCCATCAAGGGAGACGATGCCATCCCATTCGAAGGAATTGGACAGATCATCTGCTTCATTGGTTTCCTCGAGATCTGCTTCATGAAGGATGTCCCAGGAACCGGAAACGAATTCGTTGGTGACTTCCGTAATGGATACATTGACTTCGGATGGGACACCTTCAGCGAGGAAGAGAAGCTTTCCAAGCGTGCCATTGAGTTGAACAACGGCCGTGCCGCTCAATTCGGAATCCTCGGACTTGTAAGTATTGTTTCGTTGCCTGAACTTCGTTCTCTCCTGATCGATCATTTCTAACCCCTCTTCCCTCCTTTCCCTGTTACCGTAACAGATGGTTCACGAGAAGATCGTTCCTCTTGGATACGACCCCGATCTTCCCCTTGTCGGACACTTGTAAACGCTTTGTCTCGTTCTGAGCATGGCATTTTGCAGCTAAAAAGATTTGGTTGGCTTGAATGGAAGTGGAATGGAAGTACAGTAGCAATAGCAACTTAACTCTAGGAACACCGATCGCCATCTAAAAACCAATCTCTCGTAGTGATCCTGTTTGCATAAACCACTTGTCTCTTCGGGAAGATGACAAGAGAAGAGCAATCAACCACGTGCCGTGTGGCAGTCTATCAACACAGTTCAGGAACCACGGAACTGTTTTGCACTTGGTGCGGCCTGCCTATGCCATCATAGGATGCCATTCATTGGTGGTGCAAGTCTATCTATGCCAGCCAGCTATCAGAGCAGAAATAATTGCAAACCAGCCAATGAAAACGATTCTGGTTGCACACTCGATTATAATACTAGTATTGAATTCAGTTGTTTTCTAGAAGGATAGTAGGTATAGACATTCATTACATGTATTCATTAAGGATGTTTGTGGGTTCGTTCTTTGTACAGAGGAAAGAAGAGGGGATATGCATACAAAAAGGACATTGGTTGTTGGCTTGCTGCTTGCTTTGAAAAATGGCAAACTCTCGTCCTGGCATGGCATGACTGCCTGGATGGCGATCGTTCTGCTTGGTGTGGGAGTCACAGTCGCAGCATACAAACGTGTAGGCTGATCATCTTCGGATCCTACACTTCAATGCTCTTGGCATCACTCTCGACACGAGTTAATGCAGGAACTTCGGCTTCCACCATAACAGGAACGGGAATGGAAGCATCATCTTCCTCCGAGCTAGCATTGTCCACCTTCTTTGTAATCTCCACGTCGTCATCGTTGTCTTCCTTCTTGCCTCCGGCCACGGGGGCGTCAAGGTCTTCTGCCGCAGCAAAGGGCTTTGGGCCAACCAGGGACATCAGCACGGGCAGCAACACCAAACCGTGTGACACTCCCAACGCCACTGTCAACGCAAACTGAGTCGACAAAACTTTGAACACGTACGAGCTAGATCCCAACAAAACGGCAACGGCCAAAAAGGTGGAGGTCGCACCGCACAGCACGGCGGCTCCAATATCGGCAAGCGTCTCCGTCACACGACGATCCCAGTTGTTGCCTCCCTTGAGCTGGTGATTCAAAACGAAAGTAAGAAGAAGGGAAGCAGTGAGTGAGTGAGCACTCGACGTCATGTGTTTCTGATCAGTGTAGGGTAATACTGGTAGCGAACTTACCATGAAGGAGTGTCCAACGTGGGCACTGTAATCCACCGACAAACCAACGGAAAGGACAATGTTGATGACACTGACCGAGTCAATGGCAATTCCAATGGCCCACATGAACCCAAGAATCTCAACGATGCAAAAGGCAACATTCAAAGTAATCAAAATGGTGGTGGTGAAACTGCCCACGGTCAAGAGCACAATAATGGCGACGGACATGATGGCCAGTCCAACATTGGAAAACAATTCTTGCTGAATGACCTTGAATCCCTCGACGGCCAAGAAGATGTTGCTGTATGTGAAGGATGGGGGCAAATCCGTCCACGATTCTTGCATGGCACGAGTGGCATCCATGGCTTCAATCTGTTTGCTGGAATCTTCAATGACCTCTCCACGCTTTTCCTTGGTCAATCGAACGTATTCCGCTTCCACACGAATGGCTTCAAGACGAGTTTCGCGGGTTTCCGCATCGCTGACCATGGCGACATCCTGACTGTACTGCGATCCTGGAGCCCCAAAGTTGACATAGTTTTCCAAGGTCATGACAAAGTCTTCTTGATTAGTGGGCCATCCATCGGCTCCCAGTGTCGCATTTCCAATGGCATCGGTTCCTTCCGCGATGAGATATTCTTCGAGTCCTGTCATGACATTGCGGTAGGCATCCGCCGAGACGGGTTCGGCAATGTAAGGAGGTGCGGTTGATTTTTCAGTCAGACGTTGATCGAGATCGGCCAATTCGACGCGCTTGTCGTAGATGCCATTGCCAATGTTGGCTTGTGTTTCTTCAAAGATGAAATAAACAGAAGTCCCGTCGTCACTGAACCAAGTATCGGCGGCGTCGGTGTAATCGATGATGTAACTGTCGGTTGGGATAAAGTTTCTTTCTGTGTTTTCGACACTGAGGTTGATGGCTCCATAGATTCCAAAACCGAGCAATCCAGCAAAGATGAGCAATACAATGGCCTTTCCGGGCTTGGATAGAATGGCGGGTGCATGGTACTTGCGAAAGTATGTGGATGCAATGCCTTCCTGGTTATCGTTCAAGTCTTCTTCGGTCAATTCATTATCGTTGTTGTCATTGTCGTTGTCGTTGCCACCACTACCGCGAGTCAAGCAACAGAAACAATCGCGTCGGTTTCCTCGTTGACGGCGTTCATCGAGTACCAAACATGCAGTGAAGAATGTGGAAGCAAAGAACCATAGGAACGTGATGGAGATGGAAGCGTAGGCACAGAAACTGGCAAGCGCGGGCAATGCACTGGTGGATGAAATGGCAAAAGCGACAAGATCAGTCATGGACGTGACAGTGATGGAAGCTCCTGCTCGCGACAATCCTCTAGCACATCGTTCTACGAGTGCTTCGTCATCTTCGTGTTTGCGTGGGACTTTTCGTTCTCGGTCAAATGCATTGACAATGACAAAGCAATCGTCGACACCAATTCCGAGTAGAATAAAAGGAAGGAGGGAGTGAACAGGTCCAAAGAATAGTCCAATGAGAGCACTGAGTCCGAATCCTGCAATGGTGGAGAGTCCAATCATGGCAACGGCGGCAATGGACATGGACCAACGGGAACCCGGTCCGCACTTGATTTTTCCCAAAGTGGCTCCCAGAAAGACAAACGTGACGAGATAACTGATCTGTACGAGATTGAGATCTCCCGTAATGGCTCCTCCGAATTCATCACTGAAACTGCGTGTAGAAAAGTAGGCAATATTGACGTTGGTGTAAGGAGTGGGGTCTTTTTGAATGACGTCGAGAAAGGCATCTTGTTCCCACTGTTCATTGATGGGATCTTGTGTGGATCCATCTTGCACATAGGATCTGTCATCTAGAAAATAAGTGACAGTGAAAGCTTCTGCAGAGACGAGCTGATCAGAGGAATCAAAGGTAGGATTTCCCAGCACCGCCATGAGATCTTCTTTGGATCCATACTGGTTGAGAGTGTCCATGAAATCAGGATCATTGTTGAAGGTTTCAAGATCATAGTTCCACATTTTGAGAATTCCAGACATTAGGCACTGACAAACTCCGTCGTAAGAAGACGCACAAGATCCCCCAGCTTTGGTGCAGAGATCCACTAGAGTGGAATTGGCAGTGAAAGTGTCATTGTTGAAATTGGAAGGAGTGGTGTGGATTTCTTGTTGGAGACTGAGAGCATCTTGGATGGTTGTTTCAGTTAGGACATTCTTCTGGTTGTTTGGGGATTTGCTTGAAATGATCATGGTGTTGATTCTGGTGGTTGGGGGAAAGTAGTTGAGGTACATTTCCTGTTCCTTTTCCGCCAGAGTATTCTGAGGCACCCAAAGTTCTTCTGGTCGATTTTCGGACTCTAGCACTGCAAAGCCTCCTCCAAATCCAATTCCAATCAGCATGGTCAAGCCAATCGTGGTCCACGGCCGAAAGGACACAAACTTGCCGATCTTGTAAAACACATCTCGAATCAAGTCATCGATCCAGTTGCCTATTTTCTCGCATCCTCCAACCTCAGATTCTTGATTGTCTTGGTCAGCCGAGCACATCTTCTTATCTGGACTTTAGTACCTTTTTTTAAAAGAGTTGTTTGCTGCAAAAAACAAACTATGAGCTTCCTCTGGGGTGAAAAAAATGATGAAACCAGCTCATTCCGTCGGAACTTTCAGTGATGTGGTCAGACCTCGGCGAAGTTGTTCGACAAGCAATTTTTGTGGTCTATGACATTCGCCGAGTACTACTGGTACACAGTACATACGTAGTTGAAGCAGCAATGACACGATCGCCACAAGTATGCATACCGTACAGCCCCCATGACAAAGAGTATTTTAATTAAATGCATCATACGTCACAAGGTCAACTGGCGGCTCCAATTGTTGTTCCGAGAAACTTGAAATCAACCTTTTGGGCCACCTCAGCAAACTGATTCAGATTGATGAGTCTTACGATAGAGCCATTCTACATTCTGATTGGTCCAAGTGGATGATGCGTCAAAAAGGAGCATCACAGCAACAACCTCAACCTTTTCTATCCACGATGAATTCTTCGTGAATCCACGCCCTGGAATTGGCTTGGCGACCACGGTTTCATCATTCAGACATTTTTTTTAAATTTTTTGTTTTCTCTGTTTCAAAGAAGGAGGCAACATAGCTCTTTCTTGCCTGTAAGATCATGGTTTTTCCATGGCTGGAAGCACAATACCGGAGTGCCACAGTGCCACAATGTTGAGCACTTCCCCATCCAATCAATTGGTGGGTGAGCACATTATGATGTACTAGTAGTCTTGCTTGAGATGGCACCAAAAAAAGGGTCAACTTTTGATAAAAGCAAACACCGCACACAGCCAATATATCATAGAGGCAGTGATAAAAGCCCCACTATTAATAGTAATAATCACCCGGGCTGCCCTAATGGGTGGAATCCAGCTAAAATGTATGATAACAACATGTCTGAATAACTTTGGCCCCTACCGGTAGCTACTAACGGTAAACAAAGACTTCTTGCTTTCTAGCTACGGAAGTCAACAACGCTACTCCCATGGTCTACCGGTATGCTCGTGTCCGCTGGCTCAACTTGCTAGTAGCACCAACGGCACAGCTAGCCAGCAAGCAGTGGAAGCATGAAACTCATTCCCTTCCCAAGCTACTACGGTAACGGTACAATCGTAGTACCGGTACTGGTACACGTACTGGCTGGCTAGCCAGCCAGTACATGTAATGCTTGGAGTTGGGCATTTGAATGTCAATCGAGTCGAATGAATCGAATCCAGACATCAGCGGGCAAAAGAGCAATTTCCTTTTCAAGATCAGCTTCAAGTTTAATTGTGGATTGAGAAGCTGTTGAATGCTGAATGCTGCTTGGTGGACGGTGCCGTAAGGCCGTAAGCCCGTGAGGCCGTAAGGTACTCGAGAAGTTACAAGGCTGCTCTGCACTTTGAATTGGCTCATAGCCTTTTTGTGGTGCTCGGTATTCATGTGGCCATGCGACAATGGACCTTCAGTACCATGAAAAATGGGGTATCAATCGTTAATTCTAATATTTGAGTGTTTGTAAAAACATTCCCTTGTTGGAACTAATGAACTACCTTTTCTAAATCTATCAATGACCGGACTGAACCAGTATCCATATATAATATGCCTTTTGGTGTCACTCTTGCGGCTTTGGTAACACGTAGTGGGATGCTGCTTCTAAGTAATATTCACACTTACTTGTACAGCTACCTGTACTCATGGGGCAAAAGGCAATTATTCTTTCATTTCAGCTGCTTTAGTTTCTTCTGCTTTCATCCTCCCATCTCAAAACTTCACTTCTCTTTCACTTTTTTGTTTCTCGAAGGAAGATAGAAGCAACAGCGTAGCCGGAGATAGAAGACATACATCTACTAAGCATAGCTCCTCATAAATTTTAAAAGTACGGCAGGCCAGATGAGCAACCCTCAAGGCAGCGTAACAACATCAACTGCTTCTGACTCCTGCATTAGCAGCTTGGCCAGCTCTGTTCACAGCGGTCGCATCGTGGTAGGTACTAGTACTGGTAGGGACACTGGCAGTCCTTCGAGCTCCAATCGGTCAGGATCGTTCGGGATTCCCATGACCAAGATCAAGCGAGACTCGTACTCGACCGAGTTTCGAGAATGTCTCGTGGAAACAGATTCGCAGAATAAGGCGCGTTTATCCAGAGGACGATCCACCCTTAGGCTCACTTCCTTACGCCACGATAAGGTCGGGTACTATGGACGCCAAAAACAAGAGCAACTCCTCCAAGAATCCGTGGAGCGACTTTGTTTTAACCTTAACCCTAAAGATCCTTGCGGGACCACTAGCGCTGGCACTCCAGGCCCCACCCCCAAATGCGAGTTGGTGTTGGTGGGAGGCACGTCAGGCACGGGCAAGACAGCTTTGGCTAAGCAAGTCGAAACCAAGCTACCCAAAGGGGCATGCTTTATCATGGGAAAGTGCGACCTGAATGCTAGCGACGAACCTTACTCGGCCATTTCGGACGCTTGCGAAACACTCTGCGAACACTTGCTGAACAAAAGCGCGCCGGATCAGGGACAATTGGCAAGCAAAGCTAGAGAAATGTTGCTCGATCAGCTCGGACTTCAAGTCATGGGACATCTATGGGGACTCATACCCTCGCTCTACAAGCTCGTCGCGGAAACGCACACGCAGGCCAACCCAAACGACAGCGATTACGACGACAAGGACAAGGAAATGCCGCACAGCGTCATTCAAGAAGTCAAGTTCGAAAACGAGACACTATCGTCCGGCGAATCGTCCATGGGTGCAACCGCCAAGCGCCAGCAAATGAACTACGCCTTTCGAGTCCTCATCAGGGTATTTTCATCCTGCTACAGGCCACTCGTCATTTGCATCGATGATTTGCAATGGAGCGATTCTGCTACCTTGGAGCTAATTGAATTGCTATTGACTGATGTCGAACACAACCGATTGCTTATCATTGGATGCTACCGCTCCGAGCACGTGCAAGACGACGACCAACTATCACAAGCCATTCAAAAGTTTCAAGGTCTCAAACCAACTGTGCAAGTCTCAGAAATCGAACTGCAAAACTTATCCGTGCAAGACTGCGCAAGCATTCTCGTGGACTTGCTTTCCATGCAAGGCGACGAGGACAAAATCGAAGAGCTAGCCGCTGTTTGTCACAAGAGGACAATGGGAAATGTCAATTTCCTACTACAGTTCACTACCATGTTGCATGAAACGCGATTGATTGATTATCATTTGGGCTTGATGCGATGGGTATGGGATTCGCAGCATATTGAAACAGAAACAGACGCCGCAGACAATGTTATTGTCGTTTTGGAAAAACGTATGGATCAACTCGACCAGGAATTGAGGCATTTCCTATCCGTCGCATCCAGCATTGGAGCCACTTCCAGTCTACGCATTCTAGAATTGGCATGGGACACTGCCAAGAAGCTGAACCCTGCCAAAGACGAAACCAGCGATTTTTCGGCGTGCATCGATTCATCCGTATTCGGGAACTTCATTGAATTGTGCGGCGATGACAAGTACAAGTTTGTGCACGGTAAGTGTTAAATACTGTGATCCACTTGCCATGTGCAGCCACCACCACTTTTACTTGCTTGCTTGGACTCGACTCGACTCGACTCAACCATGGAATCAATCGCTTCATCTTGCACAGACAAAATTCAAGAGGCCGCAGCCGGACTGTGGTCACAAGAGGAGAGGCAAAAGGAGCAAGTTGCCATTGGCATGCGACTCCTCAGCGAGCTGACCGTTGACGAACAGCATGCCCATGTCTTTTTGATTCGAGATTTGTTAGACAAGAACCAGCACCCAAACGCGGTCGAAGCGGAGACTATTGTACGCATCAATTGGATGGCGTCGGAACGAGCCCGGTCGTTGTCGGCATTCAAAAGCTCGTTGGTGTATGCCAAAAAAGGAATTTCTCTGCTCACACCCAACGCGTGGGAGACAAACTACGCCACTGCGCTTGCGCTCTATACTCTGGCAAGCGAGGCTGCTGGTTTTTTGGGACATAAAGTACTCATGGAGGAACTCAGCGAAACTGTCCTGAACAGACCGGAATGTCCTCTGTTGGACAAGGTCCGCATCTACACGGCAAAGATTGACACAATGGCCAACGAGGGTAGTCCCGAGAGCGTACAGAATGCCATTGATCTGATTGTCGACCTACTCAACCAGCTGGGCTGCAAAGTACCAAAGATGCTGACATTATCTGTCATTTCGACCATGTTTCACTTCAAGAAGAACGTGCCAACTGAAGGAGAACTCCGTGCTTTACCCAGGCTCTCCGACAGGGAAAAAATGGAAGCCATGCATCTTCTTTATCGTTTGCAAGGGTATGGCTACATCACGCGACAAATCATGTTGTCCCTCTGGGCAGCTTTCAAGGTTGGCAAGATCACGTTGAAGGACGGGAGGCATCCCGTGTCCTCGCTTAGCTTTCCTTGTGTAGGTTTTGCAATGACAAGTCTGTTCAGCGATTTCCAGAAGGGAGAGCTCTACGCGAAACATGCCGAAGCCCTCATTGATATGGAAGAAGACAAATCAAAAGAAGGACGAATGACTGTGTCTTGTTTGCCATCGTTCGTATATACGAGACCTGTGCAATCTGTTGGGAAGAAATTGATACAAGGGTACAAGACTGACATGCAGGCAGGGGATTCAGAAAGGTAAGCATGTTTTGCAACATGACTGCAGCACAAAAGTGGAAATATGTTATTGTACCGGTACTCATTGACTACGCTTGATCGTCTGGACATACTTTACAGCGCCATGTACTGTCTCTCTCACCACTGCTACATGGGCTTTCTGACGTCTCGGTCGCTGGACTACCTTGAGGCTGACTGCCACAAATTCTTGGCGCAGGCATCGCAGCTGCAAATTTTCAATGCAATTTTCTTCCTCGCTCCCTTGGCGGAGCTCGTGTCTGCGTTGACCGGTTCTAGACTTGGAATCGAGACCTACCTTGATGGCAAAAGCTCCCCCATGTTCACCGATCATTTGGATCTGTTTCACACCGTTTCGCACGCGTACCTTGGTCGATATCAAGAAGCGGCCGACCTCTTCATTCGGCGAGGAAATGCGTATGACGGAGTGTATCCTGCCATGCCAATAAGGACGTGGGACAAATTTTTGGCGGGTGTGTGCTTGTACGACGCTGCCCGGTCTACGGGTCGAAGGAAGTACCTGAAGCAGGCCAACATTGTTCGTAAAACGATTCATTCCTGGCTGAAGAAGGGGAACCCCAACGCGAATCATCATGCGTGTCTTCTGGATGCTGAATACTACCGGTTGAGAAAGAAGACTGCCAAGGCTTCCAAATTCTACGAGAATGCTGCAATTATGGCCGGCCGCGCTGGGTTGCTTCATGACGCTGCGTTCACGGAGGAGCGGTATGCGTACCATCTGATGGAGAGCAGTGCTCTTTCCAAAGAAGAGGCCGGGTATCGTTTGAAGAAAGCGGTGATGCTGTACACTGAATGGGGAGCGTCTGAGAAGGTCCGGCTGCTCGAGGATAGATTCCCGGAGTTTCTTCGCAGAGATGGTGTATCCGCGCCATTTCGCACGATGGAATGAATTACGTGATCAAGTAAGTCTGTAGAATGTATGCATAGCCGTAGACGTACATGTAGTCGCTCAACTGTTTTAGAATAATCCAGCTCCGTGTTCAAAGAAGTCTCCTTCCTCCGTTCCACCTCATGAGTGGTCTCCACAACGACCGTACATCGCCTTCGGAGCTTGCCCTTGTTGCCACCTCGGTAAGCCATACCGGTAGTGATATAGACGAATTGTTTGAGCCTTTTCCTTTTTAAAATTTTGGTGCGTCGTTTCGGTGAGTTGAAGTCTCAATCCTCGTGGTGGAGCCCGGCAAACATCCATGGGAATTCTGTGCGCGCTGTGCTCAGGCAACTTGGCGCCAAAGAACAAGACGCGAGCATGAGCTAAAACGCGCGACGGCCTCTACTTCTTCGGACAGGCTGCTTACTAAGTCTTTCAATCCAGCTCTGCTCTGTAAATGAACCCTTGCAGCTTGCAGTACATGTACGCATACCGGTACGATACTCTAGCTAGCTAGCTAGTATGCACACACGCGGTGATACCAAAGCGGCCCAACCGCTACCAGGTACCACCATCGAATGGCTACCGGTCCATTCGCATTCACAACAAGTGATGCAAGCCATACACTGCAGTGCGACCTGCAAAGGTGGAAACCAAGTAGCCAGCGACGGTAGCTCGTAGAGAAATGGAAGCTGGAGGGTGTTTTTCGTACGATTGATTTGGATCCGTCGAACACCCCAAAGATCGTGCTGCCACATACAAAAAAAACGTAGAAAGCGGCTCTGTGCAGCCAACTTATTCATTCAAAGCTAATTTGGTCCGAGATTGTATAGAACAGTCCTACAGGTCGGTATGAGGCATCAACCCGAACAGATCAGGCAGATCGGGGGATTCTTTCGTAGGAAGACCTCGGGAGAGGTGATGTGCTACACTGCATGTATCCAGCGATTCTTGCTAACATGACCAGATATCACTTGGCATGCTTAACGCTATAGATACCTACCGAAACCGTACTTGCCAGGGCATCACCTTAGGCAGTATATCAAACACGGTAGATTGCAGAGCGTGGAATTGAAGGAAGCAACCGGAATTTTTTAGGTCAAGGCAGAAGTAGTGAAGTTTCGATCCTAGTCCTAGTGTTTTGTGTTTGTATATACCGTGTAGCTAATAGTAATTCCTAACCTGCTATGCAAAGCCAAGCCATAGTCGTCTAGACACTGATGCCCCCTTGCTCTGCAAAGTTTGTGTCGGCTATTGGCTCGAGCATGAGAAAGGCCAACGAATCCTCGCCTCCTGGGAGAACGGAGCCCGTCAGAGTTCTTGGTGGAGTGGGAGGAGTGACGATCTGCATTTGACCATCTGCGGAGGTACTTCGGCCTGTTTCGGTGGAGGCATCTCCGCGTGCATCGTCGAATGCTTGAACCACCCTCTTTTCATGGCGGTAGTCTGTTGCTTTCTCTCGACTTCCTTGCGGCGCTGCTTCTTGGCTTTGGTGCTGGACTTGTACTTGGAAAACAACTAGGTCAGGGGAGAGAAGAAAGACACAAACGGTAAGTGACTTGGCCTTCAGTCAAATGTTCAATGTTCAGTGTGCCCCATGCATCGATTGATTGATTGATTCAAGCTTACCTGATCTCGAATGCTTTGTCCAATCTTTTCCCGGGCCAGGGCATCTCCGACATCGTACCATTCGCCATTGCTGTCCTGTTTGACGAAGCCTCCGTCGGGTGAGTAGTCTCTGACGGAGTCCACAATAGAGGTAACGATCAAACTCTTTTCGAGCTTCGTCTTGGCAGCATTGTACTGAGGCAAGCTCTGACGGATGATCTCTCTGAACCTCAGATTTCCCACGTGGTTGGCAGCGGTGCTCCCGCGAGCACAAATGACATCGTACTTTCCAGGTGCCACAAAGAAGGGCAACGGCCGGGGCTCTCCGTTGTGCTGAGGTGCTGGTGCTGGTGCAGGTGCAGGAATGGGAGAGTGAGGAGGAGAAGGCCTGAGAGATGACATTGCTGGAGTTTCGTCCAATAGTGGAGAGGGCTGATTGGAGAAGAGATTTAAGTTTTCTCGTTGAAAAGAAGAGCGAGGTTGGTGGTAGAAAGGGTTCATTGTTCTGGCTGAATCTAATCTGAAGTAGCTACTACTAGTAGATCTGTGCTTTACTTTGGATAGCTTATGCTTTTGTTTGCTTGGTGCTTGTGAGTTGCAATTTATGAGTTTGTGAGACGACGAGCCTTCAACGCAATCTTCTGCTCTTTGTCGTCTTGGAGCTTCTCTCGCTGGAGTTTGTGGCTGTGTCGGTTGCGATATGATGGTACCAAGCAGAAAGATTGGCTGAGCAATTGCTTTCGTGGGAGGAAACTTCACTTTGATTCTTCTTTGTAGCGTTTGATCTACAGGGCAACCGCACCGGTGAGGCGATGATCCTTTCTAGGTCCTTAGCCTTTTCTACCCCGTTCCCGTTCACCCACCCAGCTAGAACAGGCAGGGTTGTGGGAAGTTGGGAACCTGAGCTCAAAGCAGCCTAGGAAACTTTCAAGTGTGTCTAGAGATTCTAGCTTCTAGACGGACAAAAAAGCCTCTTGAAGCTTTTTTCAGAAAAAATGTGAAGGTTGAAGGGAGCGTGTATGCATAAATCTTACTTCTCTCTTGTTCCTTCCTCCTAATGCCAAATTGGGTCATAAAGAGTTCGTCCGACATCGATGTAAGTCTCTTGATCACTGGTTGCCTAACTACTATACAGAGCTTTTTCAGGGTTGCTGGTTCAACTAATTTTGGATACGAACTCTGTTCATGACAAAAGTTCGGGTAACGTAATGCTCATGAACTGAACCAGTTCGGGAATACGCCAATTTTGAGCAGCCTCGTGAACCAATTCATGAACCCATTCGTGAACCAAAACCTAGGGTTATGGTTAGCAAATACAGGGTTATGGTTAGCAAATACAGGCTGTATGCTCGTATTCAAGAACAAAACGCCGATACATTGGGTCACCAAACCTGGCACAAGTGTAGCTGGTGGATAGTTGGACTGAAGGTGGCTTTGCAAGTCAGGAAAATTTTGCTTACTAGACCTGTGTTGCCTCATTTATGGTGCAGAATTCTCATGAACCAATAATGTGGAAAAGTTCACCAAATTTTGTATTCTGATGAACTTTGAACCTAGTTCATGAGTCGCCCAAACCCCCCATGAACCACTTCATGAACGTGCGCTTCATGAACCGGTTCGTGAACCCTAATTGAACTATTTCATGAAATATTAATTGAACCAGCAACCCTGAGCTTTTTCACTCTTCCTGTGAGACCTTGAATCGTATCGTGACCCGTCGGTTTACTGCTGTGAGCTGTGAGCAGTCTTCAGTCGCTGATACAGTATCGTACGATTATTCTGCTTCAAGAGAGGAGTCACAGTTGCACAGCGCGAACAAGACGATACGAATACATGTACCTGAATAAGAAAACTGAGATAGAGTTGTGTTGTGAGCTCTCATGTACGGTAGGTGACAGTCGTACCGGTACCGTACCATACGAGATGTGAGTTGCTACAGCTAGTAACCAATTCGCTTGTTCCATCTTTCTCATGCTAATGGTAGTACGCTTATTGTAGCACGTGCAGTACCGATACCTGATACAGGAAGAAAAGCAAGCTAAAGAGAAGTCGAGGACGAGATACTCCCACCGGTACGCTGTATACAAAACGAGAGTCCCATTTCAGATTCTAAATAATGGTCGGGACCTTGGGCGTTGAAAGAGAACGCGCCCTCAAACGCACGGTCCTTTAGGGTACCGGTAGACTTGCTGCAGTGGGCGAAATTTTACCCTTAGCTATCCAAGCAAAGTGAAAGCCCCAAATTGCTACTGTTGTGTACTACTACACTATCATCCAAAGTGAAACTCACCCCAAAACTACTAGTATTTGAGGCGGATCCTTTCGGAGAGGCTACCTCCATTGAATCGAGGATCAACTATTCAGCACTCCGTCTGGAGCTTATGGAGCTCAGCAGCCGGACGTTGTCAATTCAAGAACAGTCACCAGGCCAGGAGAAAATCTCGCGATGGCCGTCGTGGGCTGCAGCTCGCTTCGCTGTGGCACAGTTGAAGCTAGGAGTCAGGGTGGATGGAGGCACTCGAGTTGCTTCACTCTTCCGAAAAGGCATCTTGACGATTACGAGCCCAGACCCATTTTCGTCGCATAGAGCTCAGAGGCGAGCTGCGATCCACGAGCTGTCCCACTTCAATGACTGCGTTTCCACTGATGCAGTCACGTCTCGCCTACGGAGCCCACCCTTCAGCAACCGCCACGTATCGGTTGTTCTCAGTCTTGAAGACGAATGTCTTTACGAGTCATGCGAATCCCCGAGCGGTGTCAGCATACGCGTGGCCCTGGACGAAGATGCCGAGCCCGCCCCTTCGGTAGTCAGGCCAGCCAGAGACTTCTGCGAGGACGAGCTAGGGCCGAGGGGCCGCTCTGACGCGCGATGTTGTATATCGTCTCCAACATGATTGCCCCTTCTTGAGATCGCTGCCATGCGATTTTAGCAGCTCACTGGCGCTGCTGGCATCACAGCCCCAAGGAGTCAGGTCTCTACGAAGCCCCACTCCTCCTCTGTGGAAGATCCGTTGGATCGAAAACGAAGGCGCTCGGAGCGGCATCGCCCTTTGGGGTTTGCTCGACTTCGTTAAAAGCAAACTGGATCAAAACTGAGGCCGCTACTCGGCTATCGCTATCGCTTTGCATGCATTGAAAGGTCACGGTAATCGACGAGTCGAGAATGCTCCTGGCTTGACGAAGAAACGTTTGCTCTCATGTTGAAGCTGTCCCAGTGGAACTGTTTGCGACGCAAGGAAAAGGTCTATCAACGACGGGGGCAGCTTTCGACCGCGAGGATGGCTCTTTGTCTTGCGTGTTGCCGACTGACTGGAAGAACGGGAGGCTTCAAATTCGAACAGATCAATCAATAGAAATGCAGGTCACGTCCAACCTGTAACTGAACGTCGTGCTTAAGACAATCGGAAATCATGGTAGTCATGGTAGCAGCAGCTATATCAAACAATCGACTCGTAGGCAGCCAGCAGATTGATGGCTCGTGTCATAAGAGAGTTATTCCAGTACGGTGCCATTCCTCTCTGTGCCTGTTTCTCCCGCCAACCACGATCACAGAGCAGTGAATCGCTCCGCATCGATACAGTGGTAGTTGTCTGTCGCTGCGCGGATCCGAGCGGGTAACTACAGCGCAAATCGTCCCGTTCACGCTCAAGCGTTGACTGGAACTTTAGATTGCTGGAGTTGGTGCGCAGGAGGTGCGGCTAGAGTTGTCGTGTTTGTTATGGTCGGTGGAGTCACGACGCTGGGAAGGACTCGCACCATCTTTTCGACTCGTTCGTCAAAGGACATGTACTTGAGTCGCGATACGGTTTGAATGCGTCTCTTTTGGTCTCGTGTCTTGATGCGGATGGCTAGAGCCATTTGATGCGGACTGTAGCCAAGCTGCAAGAGCATGAACTGGCGGTATGCGCCTGGAATGCGGAGAGACGCACTTTCTTTGAGACGATGGTTCCTTCGGTAGAATTCGAATTCGTTGATGTGAATGGTAGCTAACACTTGGTAGTCCCAATCTAGCTGAATGGGTGCCCCACTGGAACAGGCCGGGTTGTCGCCTAGACACTGTGCGTATTCTCGCAATAGAACGTTACCAAATTGAACTCTCGGCTTTGTGTGACTGGTGCTGTCTACCGTGAGGTCATCGTTTGAACCCATTGGACTGTATTGTTCCCTAAAGACTTGCCTGGCAGCAGTACTGGAAGACAGTCTTCGCCGTGGTTCTTTGGGAGGTGAATCGTAGGCCATGCCGGGAGCCCTGGGACGAGAATCTATACCTCTGATTCTGAGGATGGATTCTTTGTAGGTTTTGACCTTGAGTGCGCTCTTGATACTGCTGGCGTCGCTCTGTGTGGGTAGTACTTTGGATTGTTGCTTCAGTTGGTCTTGTTGTATTTGATTTTGATTTTGATTTTGATTCTGTTGTAATAGCTGTTGTTGTAGCAGAAGTAGTTGATCGTCGGTGGAGAGAAAGGTTTGGGGTGATCGATTGGTTGACACTGTAAGATCGGATGTATCAGACCTTACAGCCGCGACGCTGACGACATCAACGGATGGAGGCATGGGTGCGATCTTGTGGTTTATTGCTGGTTCGTGTGATGCTTGTATTTGGTAGAGATTGTCTTTGCTCGCCTCGTTGTTGCAGGTATTACTTGTTGTCTCTTTCTGTGTCTCTATAGTGTCAATTTGAGCATGTATGCCTGGTTGGGTGGCTTGGGGTGTGCTCGATTCGTCATTTCTGGTCGGGGTCTCATTGCCGTTGCAATTATTGGATGGGCACTGAGGGTTCGAACTTGCATGTTGTGTCAGCTGTTGCTGTTGCTGTTGCTGTTGCTGCTGCTGCTGCTGCTGCTGCTGTGTTGTTTGTGTAGTTTCCCTTTGAACATTGATGACACCTGGCAACTTGTTGAGTGCTGTAGATTGTGTGTTCTGTGTGTATTGTTGGTGTGACATGTCATCTCCAATGAGATGGAAGGATCTGTCTTCAATGTCAGTGGTTCCAGTTTCTCCAGTGAAGAGTGAGCTTGAAATGCTTTCTGATTCTAAAAGCAGCAATCCATATTCGTCCACATCAACTTCAGTGGGTGGGATGGGGAAGTCTTGTACACTCCAATAGTCAGCCCCATCTTTGTCCTCTTGTTCTGCTTCTTCTTGTAGAGTTTCTAATACTGTTGGTTGCGCTGCCCTTGCCATTTCTGCTTGCATTTGCATTGGGTTTGTACTAGAGTGTGGATGAGTGGAAGCAGGTGCTGACTGTCTTCTTCGTTTGCTGAATAAGTTGAATCCCTTGTTTTGTTTCTGAGTGTCTGTTGTGTCTTGTGTTGCTTTGCTTCTGGTTGTACTTGCACTTTTACTTTTAGTAGTGCTTTTGCTCTTGGCTGAGGCAGTGGAAGTGGAGGTGGAAATGGAAGAAGCAGAGGCAGAATGTGAAGCAGAAGCAGATCCATAGCTTCTGGCGCTGGCACTGACACTGCTGTTGCTATTGTTGCTATTGTTGGTGTTGGTGACAGGCCCTTGCACAGAGTGTCTTCTTTGACTTCTTTGAGATTTCTGTTTCTGTTTTTGTTTTTGTTTTTGTTTCTGGAATTGCAACTTTTTGTCTTCATAAGACTGCCTGTGCTTGCTAACCTTGACCTTGCTATTAATAGGAGCAAATTGTCGCCTTTGTAGACTCTCCACAAGGGTTTCTCCTGGTTTGACTCTAGCTAGTGTCTGAGACAGAGTTTCTTCAATCTGAATGGGCTGATCTGCTTCAGGATCGACTCTCTTGGCGCCTTTCTTGCTCCTGGGTGACTTGTACCTGTAGGTAATGTTGCGGATGGGCATGGCGGGACGATTCATAATGTCCGTCACCGAAGTCACGCCACTCAGATCCACCTTGCGGTTGCCTGCCACTTCAATGCACATCATCTTCTCCATGTCATGCACCCAGTGACGGATCGCAAAGAAATACATCACCATCCTGAAAAACGTATTACCTGCTAGTACTAGTACAAAAACCAGCAAAATTGGGTATATACCCTCAAAAAGACCTGTATCAGCTGTAGACAGGGGTATACTACTAGCTAGAGATAATGGCCTTCAGATACCCTCAGACAACTCTGATGGCAATGATATCACCTGATAATAACACTGACAAGATGATCAGCTCTCTTAGCCCAGAGATGGAGAGATGCAGAGATGGCAATGGCAATCCATCAATCGAGTGCTGTTTTTCGTTTGAGAAAGCTGCTCATGCGGGGGTGGAGGGTGGAGGGAAGAGCCTCATCACGTAGATACCACCAGCGAAGATTGCCTTTATATTAGGCGCAACCGCAAAAACTGTACTAAGTAAGCGATCGAACTGCGGAACTCGTGTACTATTCATAAGTAAACACCACATGTAAGTTACATACTATTAGTGCACCTACTTATCTCCTACTCGGAGTACTCAGTACCGTCATTAAGTCTAAATTCTACCTGTTTCGATCGATGATATGTCCGTCAAAATGTCCCATGTCCAAATTAATTTTGTTTAATAGAAATCTGGGTTTTTTAAAAGTAGAGTTCGGTGAGTGAATGTTCTTTAAACTTCTTTTCACCATTACTGAGTCACTCTTAGTGCACAATCACGTCGTAATTCCGCGAACAATGGAACTCCAAAACAAGACATTTACTCGAGCTATTTTCGCGCGGACGGCAGGGCTGCAGGGCTGCAGGGCTCCACGGTAGACTATCCCGCCTCACATACATAGGCGCCTACCGAAACAACAAATTGCAGGGAATCACCTGTTAAATCCAAAACTCTGCTTTTTTAAAAAGCGGTGTGATTTAGAGCGGAGTGTGCAATTTAAGTCGACGTGCTGAAATTACATAGTGACACTGAAATTGCACTAAGCCCCGTGTTAATAAGCGTGATACGTGCTGAAATTACATAGGGTGACTGAAATTGCACCCTCTAAGTGACATTTCAGCTTGAGAGTGAGATTTAAGCTCAAGACACTTCAAAGACTCAATTTGAGAGGTGTTAAACAAACAAATTGCTCTTTCGGTGAACCCCAGAGTCTAATAATCCAAAATCCACTCTTCGCTTCGTACATACATGTACCAGGTACTTCATATTCACACTTGCACACCGTCGTGGCACTACCGGTACACACTGTACATGGAGTGTTTTACTTGACGCCTTGCATTGCTCAGCTAGAGTACAGTACCACTCATGAATAAGGACTTACTTGTAGTCTAGTTGCGCCAAGTTCGATCGCGGTTGTGCCCACCAGGAGCCAACCAGTTGGCGCTTATTGAACTTTAACCCGTGCCCGGGGGCTCCGTTGTAAAGACATCATCGGCTGCCAAAAGCTTGATGACACTTCCCAAGGTCCTGTTGAACAAACAATGAAAGAAGGCAAAGCAAGAGTGGTCAGACAACAACTCGGTAGATGGAAGGAGTGGTTCAAACATTGCAGTGCTTGCTTCATTGATTGCTCACCTGTCCATGCTAAGAATTGGGCGGGATGGATCGGAATGTCCTTCCTTGAGTTGTGGTAGGATACAGCTGCTGTAGTCCCTGTCAAAGATCTCCTTGACAAGCTGCATGTCCTTTTCATATTCACCAATAAAGATGGGTCCATG